AACTATGTACTCAAGTATTAGGGTTTGAAGAAATGCGAGAAAGCCATACGGCAGATAATATACAAGACAGTTTAATTAATATTATTGAAACATGGAATTTAACCGGTAAAGTCATAGGGATAAGTCACGATAATGCTGCAAATGTAACTAATGCTGTACGAAACTTACAAGAACGTGATATTTATTCAAGTCCGTGTGCCGCCCATACATTGCAATTATCTATATTAATAAAGGTCGTGAGAATAGAATGTGTAGCCATTTATTAAAATTAGCCTCGRACATAGTTGCTGCTTTTAGGCACTCTCCAAAACGAACAAATGCTTTAGAAAACAAAATCAGCGAATTAGGACAAAAAAAATTGTGTTTAATACAGAGATGTCCGACTAGATGGAATTCTAGTATGGATATGTTAATGCGTTTACTAGAACTTCGGCCAGCTATTGTATCGATAATGTTAGATCGTACATTATTCAACACAAAAACAGCAAAAAAATTAGAAATGCTCGAAGAAGACTAGGAGTACTGCCAAATATTGGTGAAACTTTTAAAACCACTACAATTAGCTACGACAGTTTTATGTTATGAACGACAAGTTACAATATCAATGGTAATTATTTTGCATTCATTTTTTGATATATGATAATAATAAAATGCTTTATTTAATATTATAATTTAATAGGTAATAGTAAATTTATAAACATAATTAAATTATTAAATTATTTAWAATAATTATATTTTAATACTTTTAAAAAAGTTATTAAGCTTTACAAAATTCAACATTAACAAGCTCAAAATTATATATATTTATCTCTAAATTTTCTCTAAAAAAAAACATTTTATTATAAAACCAATAACTTTTGTGTATCRCTCARAATTAAAAATATTAATWAAAAAAACATATTTTTTAGATACGACCAATTGTTAAAAGCCTTATAGAAAAGCATTTAAAACTCGAAGATACAGACTCAACACTAGCAATGGTGTTTAAAGAAACAGTGTGTAATGAACTACGTCGGAGGTTTAATATTGATTTTGAAGAAGAAAATGGAATTGCAGCAGACATTTATTCGGAATATAGGGAAGTAAACATAGCACAAATTGCAAGTTTACTAGATCCAAGGTACAAGAATTTACAATTTGAATCATCAGATCGTATACGAGAAATTATTAAACAAAAAATTCGTTCAAAGATACAGTCAATTAGATATATATCTGAAAATGAAAACACCTCAAATACTAAACAAAGTACAGTATTAGATGATTTATTGGGGATAGTTCCACTAAATTCTGAGGATGAATTTTCGAGGTACTTGGCTGAACCACAAATTAATCATAATGACGATCCGTGTTTGTGGTGGAAATCGCGTGAACTTACGTTTCCTTCTTTATCTGTTCTCGCGAAAAATATTCTTTGTATACCGGCTTCTTCGGCATCTTCAGAACGTGTTTTTTCTACTGCTGGATCAATTCTATCCCCAAAGAGAAATAGAATGACTCCCTTACATTTATCAGCCCTGGTATTTTTAAATAAAAATATTTGATTCTAAACTAGAMAAATATAAAAACAACTATTTTCATTATTATAGTGTGTATCCCGTTTATACTTAAAATTGCATTAAATGTGCCTGTACGTTAAATTTATTTATTAAAAAAAATATTATATTGTGTT